TAGTCATTTACTCATTATCCCAGCTATATATACCTTGCTCACTCTGTCTGTCATTGCTGCTATTTTGTATTGTCTTCTGAGTTCATAGTTGTCTCATGTTCATCGTGTTTTCGGTTTTCTGTGTTTTGGATTACCTTTTGCCATGTTTTTGTTCTGTTCTGTTCATTTGTTACTTAATAAACAACTGCACTTGGATCTATCTTGTTTTCTCCTGGCATTCCGTGACAGAAAATAGCAGCTACTACAAGATCCAGCAGTTTGTTTTTCCTTTTTTGAATCATGGACCTTCGGATCGTCCCTCCTGCCACAGGGAAGGCGCGAGTGATCCGACACCGGACTCTGATGGCTTGGAGGCAGGAAGGAATGGAGGTTGGTGGGTTTGCCCAGACCTTTTGGACATTGGCGGTGGGCCTAAATTACAATGATGCTGCACTTAAGGACCTCCTTAACATCTGTCTGGATAATCCTTTGCCCCAGTGGGAGGTGAAAGGACTCGAGATCCTAGACTTCTGGGGCTTCGTCAGATATCTCCAGGGTCGAAGTCAGTGGGCAAAACCAGCCCAATCAGAAACCTTCTGCAGGGATTTTCCCACCACCTCTATCCTTCAGACTCCCACTAAGCGGCGGAGGGTGAGAAGGAGGACAGGAATGCCCACTCCCGAGCCCGCTCCAGTCCGGGAGCTCACCGAGCCCACTCCCGAGCCCGCTCCAGTCCGGGAGTTCAGCGAGCCCGCTCCAGTCCGGGAGCTCACAGAGTCCAGTCTAGCTCGGGAGCTCACAGAGCCCAGTCCAGAGCCCGCTCCAGTCCGGGAGCTAGCGGGGACTGTTGCGGAGCAATCTGCTTGTCCTGTTGCAGCCGCTGAGGCTGATACTAAACTCTCTCTGCTCTTGTTTTCAGGTACTCCTGAGTTGCTGAGAGGGTTTTCTGTCCCACCAATGTTGCCTGACAGGATTCCAGCTCCGCCCTGGTTGGCCGCCTGGGTTCTGGTGTGGCAGAAGCCTCACTGGCTCATTCCTCCAGCTCCGTCCTGGCTATCTGCTGGGGTTCCTGTATGGTTGGGGCCCAACTGGTTCATCCTGCCGGCCCTGCCTTGGCCTTCCACCCTGCCGGTTCCGCTCTTAGACGCTGGTCTACCTCAGTTCCCTGAAACCCCTTCCTTGGCATGGTCCTGGCCCACCATCCCCCCCCCTGGTCCGCCTCAGTTCCACCTCCCTCCTGAACTTTTTATGTTTTCTGGTGGAGCGTCTGGTATCCGCTCCGTAGAGGGGGGGTAATGTCACAGTGTCTGGTTGTGGTGCCCTGGACTGGCCACTTGAGGTCACTCTCCTGTTTTTGTGTTATATGTTGTGAACTCCATTTCCCATAGTCTCTTGTCTGTCATTCTGTCTGATCATTAGCACCTGCTTATTATTTCCGGTCATTATCACCTGTTAGTCATTTACTCATTATCCCAGCTATATATATATATATATATATATACCTTGCTCACTCTGTCATTGCTGCTATTTTGTATTGTCTTCTGAGTTCATAGTGGTCTCATGTTCATCGTGTTTTCAGTTCTGCGTTTTGGATTACCTTTTGCCGCGCTTTTGTTCTGTTCATTTGTTACTTAATAAACAACTGCACTTGGATCTACCTTGTTTTCTTTCTCCTGGCATTCCGTGACAATGACAGTGAATACATTTATTATAAGATTTCTATTTTAAATAAATGCTGTTCTTGGACCCTCTATTCATTAAAGAATGCTGGAAAACATGTATAATGGTCTCCACAAAAATACTAAGCTGCACAACTCTTTTTAACATCCATAATAATGAAAAAGGGAGCACCAAATCAGCATATTAGAATGATTTCTGAAGGATCATGTGACACTGAAAGTAATGACTGCTGAAAATTAATCTTTGCCATCACATGAATAAATAGCATTTTAAAAGATACTAAAATTGAAGGCAGTTATTTTAAATTGTAAAAACATTTCATGATATTACTGTTTTTATGTACAGGTATTTTGACCAAAAATTCAGCCTTGGTGAGCATAAGATCATAAAATCTTAATGATCCCAAACTGTTGAACAGTACGGTAGAATGTTTAATACCTACATCCATGTACTATTATAACTAACTAAGATTTTTATTACCACAATATCTTCAACAGATTATGGTGACCGTTATTTCTCACACACAAAATGTTAACTTTTATTGCATTACTTCATAAAACTTTGCTTTAACTACTCTACATCTCAATTTAATGTCTTTTCCTTTCTTTACAACTAGTTGCTCATTTCTACTGGTTTAACCAGTGTGTTGAACAGCACAATGAAATGGATCTAATAATAATACTGTACCACAGAAACTACAGTGTTAAAAAGACAGAGCAAATAAAGGACAACTCAACACTGCACAAAACCTAAAGAGACATCAAAGATATGAAGGCATCTATCCCATACCTTAGATTAGTAGATGTATGACGTTTTAAAAGAATCCATTAGAGCAGATAACACCATCCCTTCCAAAAACTACAGTGCTCATTGCTAAAAGCTCTTTGATCTTTCAAGCAGAAGACTTCACTTCCTGACTATGTGGACGTTTTAAAGTTGCTGCTTTCTGCATAGCTGAAGTGATGTGTCACATAAGAGTGAGCGTGAGAGAGAGAGTCTGGCCAGGCCAGTACACCAGCAAGCTCTCAAAGGCAGCTTCAGCTCTGCTTCAAATGAGAACCAGCTGACAAGTTAGATTCACACCCTTGATGTCTCCCACTGTACAGGCATCACTAGCTCAGCAAGAAGCAAGCACAAATATCCATCAGTTCTGTCACAGGTTGATTCATGGCCTTTGGCTGTTGACATTACACAGTGGCAAAAATAAAGCGATCTGTTTAATAAGGCACTGTTTATAAAATTGCATTAATTTGTTGCCTTGGAGCTAAATTAAAGCAACACTATGTGTTGTCAGCATGTTCAGGGCTAGCCTGACATTCCCTCAATTGGGCTTATAACTCGCAATAACTCGTGTTTATGCGATTCTGTTTAAAAAAGTCAAAATTGTCAGTTTAAATCTCGCAATTCTGACTTTATAACTCCTAATTGCAAGTTTATATCTCACAATTCTGAGAAAACAAATGTCTGAATTGCAAGAAAAAAAATGTCAGAACTGTGAGATAATTTACTTAAAATATAAAAATCCATCAAAAAAGTGTCAATTATTTTGTATGTTATACACTATATAATATAAATAAGGAGTTTAATAAAGATAATTATTTATATCAATCTGTTGTTCTCAACACGACAAGCAATTTTGCCCCTAATAAAGTTTTTGTATTTGGCTACTAACAGTCAAGAGCATTCTTGAGACCAAATATGTGATCTGTTAATAAAACAATCAAGGTAAAAAATGTTTTAAGGTAAATATAACTTAAAGTGTAAATATTTAACTGTGCATATTTTTAGATACAGTAGATGCTAGCTATGAAATTAGCTTTAGCAAGACAAAGTAGAAGTCACAAAAATTGTAAGAATGGCATTTACATCCATGATATACAATATAATACATCATCTGAGATTAAGTGGAAATTCAACTGTGGTTGAACGTTCATGCTGAAAAATTTCAAAATTCTCCTGTGATGCATGTTCACTGTTGGACATTATTAAACACCCAGGATGATCTTGTGTCTGAAAGTGAGCCAATCCCTAAATCCCAGAAAAGCGCCTCACTATTAATGGCCATTATTTTGAAGTTAAATGTTCAACAAGTACATATGAATTTGATCTTGCATACTGTGAGAGGTCAAAATGTAATATGTAAACTTCAATGGCTGGTTAATTTTTGACAGCCATTTACACATGATGCATCTAACAATACACTGATGCTGAACATTCAAAGATATGTAGCACCAAACTAGACAAGATTTCAGTGTTGCTGAATCAGATTGATTCATTATTCACATAGAGACTACTAGAGCCTCAAGTATTAGACAATCAGCAGAACAACTCAATTACAATTGTAACTTTTAACTGTGCATAACAAAATAATCTTTTTAATGTTTACTTTAGGGATGCACGATATATCGGCCACCATATCGGTATCGGCCGATAAATGCTAATTTTTCTGTTATCGGTATCGGCCCGATAAGAAAATTTGGCCGATATCTTTAAGCCGATAAATAATGCATTATTTCCTTCAGAGACACTTCAGATGCGCGCTGTTCGTTTGCAGCCTTTTGTGCAATTGTACGTTGTAATATTGTGTTTATTTGATGTATATCTGATTTATCTCACATAGAATGCATCTGGTTAAGTTAAAAGAGCGCTTCAGTTTACCGGTGATAAACTCAAACAGCAGTGCACAACATTAATAACTATGATTGGGAATGTCGTGTATATAACATTCTAATGAGAAAATTATTATAATAAAACATTGTGAATTCTTTGGGTTTATTTGCCGTGTTTCAGCGCGTTGTTATGGGAAGAGTGCATCCACAACAGGATCACACATTCTGACTATAGCACGCAATAACTGCATCATTTTGTACATATATAAGTTGTAATATTATGTTTATGTTGTATTAATATTAATCTCAGGATGCATTTCCTTGAGTTAAATAAGCTGCCAGCAAAACGCTTCAGTTTACCATGTTCATTCAGCTCTTCAGCTTCAGCACGCGCAGCTCAACGGCTGCTATTTAAAACAGTGGTATTAATTTGTTACTTTTTCAAAATCATTGATATATTATTAATAACAACAACCACTTGTATTTTTCTCTTATTATTTTCATCAACAATATGGTTTAGTAATTAAAATCATTTAATTATTGTCTGTGCAGAGGCTATTCCATTTTATTGGTGACGCATTCATTTTGATTCTTTACACGTGTAATGATGTCCAATGACTTGTTTGCATTATTTATGCATTATTTTATTTATTTTGTAAGACTTTTTTATGACAAAATTTGGTAATGGGAGAGTAAAATTATTTTTAAAACGTACACCGTTCAAACTAGGCTGCTTATGTTGAAGTGTTCGGGATGTGGTTTTTAATGATGAGACCTTTTTTGTAATCAGGCTCTCAAAAAGTATATAAAAATTTGGATATAGATTTATCGGCCAACATATCGGTTATCGGCTTTCAAAAATAAAGAATTATCGGTTATTGGTATCGGCCAAAATTTTCATATCGGTGCATCCCTAGTTTACTTTGTTATTTACATATTTAATGAAGTTCTCAAATGGTGTGTGAGGATGTTGTTTCCATCTTACCTTATATGTAAGTGTTCTGTTTTATTTCTTTCTGAACGGTCTGCAAAACACAAAGCATAAAGCATGAACTAAATTTCTTTGTAACACATTTTATTTAACTGTTTGTGAATTAATATTTGCTACATGCAGTGACTAAATTCTCAGGCACAGCTGGCAGTAGTGACGCTGTCTGTTTGGCTGGTTAATGGTACTGATAAACCTGTTTTAAAGAGCAAAGCTTTAAGGAGAGAGCTAAAGGCTACAACACCAACAACACACTTTTTCATGAAACCTCGCTCAGCATTCACATCACTCAGGTCCATTTTAACAGCTCTTACAACAGGTTCCTGGTTTCAGAGGTAAAGCACATTCATTTGTCTCCCCTTTCACTTTTGAACACATGTTGAGCATATCTGAACTTATAAGGTCTGCTCTCCCCTCTCTACAGGACATCTACCTCAAACGCTGCAAACGCAGAGCTGTTAAAATCATCAAGGACTCCAACCACCCTGGTAACTGTCTTTTCACTTCGCTGCCATCTGGTAAGCGCTTCCGCAGCCTGATGGCAAAAACCGAGAGACTTAGGAGGAGCTTCTTACCCCAGGCCATCAGGCTCCTAAACTCAAACTCAGTCTCTTAACACCAACATGACTTTACTTAATTATCAGTAAGACACTTAATATACTGACATTGCCACTTGCACACAGCAATTTCTGTTATATTCTATTTATTTACTTTTTTTTTTAACTCTATTGCTGCTATTGAACTACCCTGTACAACCTGTTTGCACATTCTTCTCTTGTACATTCCTGCTCATCTTAATATTTAAGTCTACAGTATACTGTCCTGCACATTTTATTTTATTCTTATTATAATTTTTTTTAGGGATGCACGATATATCGGCCACCATATTGGTATCGGCCGATAAATGCTAATTTTTTCTGTTATCGGTATCGGCCCAATAAGAAAATTTGGCCGATATCTTAAAGCCGATAAATAATGCATTATTTCCTTCAGAGACACTTCAGATGTGCGCTGTTCGTTTGCAGCCTTTTGTGCAATTGTACGTTGTAATATTGTGTTTATTTGATGTATATCTGATAATCTTCATATAGAATGCGTTTGGTTAAGTTAAAAGAGCGCTTCAGTTTACCGGTGATAAACTCAAACAGCAGTGCACAACATTAATAACTATGATTGGGAATGTCGTGTATATAAAATTCTAATGAGAACATTATTATAATAAAACGTTGTGAATTCTTTGGGTTTAGTTGCCGTGTTTCAGCGCGTTGTTATGGGAAGAGCGCATCCACAACAGGATCACACATTCTGACTATAGCATGCAATAACTGCGTCATTTTGTACATATATAAGTTGTAATATTATGTTTATGTTGTATTAATATTAATCTCAGGATGCATTTCCTTGAGTTAAATAAGCTGCCAGCAAAACACTTCAGTTTACCATGTTCATTCAGCTCTTCAGCTTCAGCACGCGCAGCTCAAACGGCTGCTATTTAAAACAGTGGTATTAATTTGTTACTTTTTCAAAATCATTGATATATTATTAATAACAACAACCACTTGTATTGTTCTCTTATTATTTTCATCAACAATATGGTTTAGTAATTAAAATCATTTAATTATTGTCCGTGCAGAGGCTATTCCGTTTTATTGATCTATGGCGCATTCATTTTGATTCTTTACACGTGTAATGATGTCCAGTGACTTGTTTGCATTATTTTATTTGTAAGACTTTTTTATGACTAAATTTGGTAATGGGAGAGTAAAATTATTTTTAAAACATACACCGTTCAAACTAGGCTGCTTATGTTGAAGTGTTCGGGATGTGGTTTTTAATGATGAGACCTTTTTTGTAATCAGGCTCTCAAAAAGTATATAAAAATTTGGATATAGATTTATCGGCCAACATATCGGTTATCGGCTTTCAAAAATAAAGGATTATCGGTATCGGCCAAAATTTTCATATCGGTGCATCCCTAATTTTTTTTCCCATACCTATATTTATATATATTTTTCTTGTGTTTGCATTCTTTAATAATTACACTGTATTATTAAATTGGAGCGGACCTGACTTACATTTCACTGCTGGTCATATATTCTGTATATAACCATGTATGTGACAAATAAAAATATTGAATCTTGAATAACACATTATTAAAGCTTATGAAACTACAAAGCTTGTAGAACAAGACCAGCATGTTTCACTACACCACACAAAAATAGGATCCTTGTTATTCCTGACAGCATTGAGCATTCATAGAAAATGTTTAACTTTCCCCAGGTAATGAAAGTGAACTCATAAAACATAATGACTGCTTTGGCAAAGGGGTCTTTGTTGCAGTTGTCTACTGACCTATCACTGTCCCCAGACACACCTGCTGGGCCCAGTTTCTGTTCTCACTGTGACTCTGTGTGTGTGTGTTTGTCAAAGCTACGAGAAAGTGAAATCGCCTACCTCACTCATAATAGCATTAGTTAAGTCATTGATTTGAGTTTATATTATTATCACTTAAATCATTGTATTTTTTACAAGTTAAGCATAAAAGACAAAATATCAAAGAACTGGAAATATATAGTCCTACCTGCATATTGCAGAGAACAGTAAGTAGACTCATAACCCACTTTCTGATTCAAATGTTTGCAAGAGGAAGCACAACTCCCGGTGAAAGTGACGTCTCTTTTTTTTCATTAGGTATGTTGACACAACCAGGGTGCCATGCAGGAATGCAGTCAATCAGGAAGTATTTCTCTTCTGACATTAGTGCACCAAAACATTAGTTAACCAATAGTCAAATATTCTCGCACACATATAATACATACTGGCCCTCCATCCAAACACATCACATACTTTACCTATCAGTACAGATGCCCACCTTAATAATGTGAGCAGTTCGTATACAAATACATCCTGATATCACAATACATTATCTGCTTTATCACTGTCACTGCTCCAGGAAGATGGTGCGGTTTTGTGCTGATAGTAGGATAGCAACCAGCTTTCACTTAAAAGAGTACTGATATTATTACAAGTGATTATACAAAACTGGTCTCAGTCTCAGATCAGTATAAAGAGACAGAAGTTCCCAATAGAAATTTGGGAAGACTGGTTGTGTTTTCAAATGCATGTTATAAGCCCACACTCACAGTTCTTGCAGAGATGGATTACATGTGGAGCAGCATTTTCCTGTGAACCATGTCGCTCTGAGACACTGAAAATCATGAATTGCTCACGTGTAAAAATTGCCATGCTTCAATACATATTAGCGCTGGGCAACAATTAATTTTTTTAATCGCGATTAATCGCAATGTTATGCACAAAATTCAATAATGAGTTCAAAAATAGAGTATTGCGCACTTTTTTCTTTAAAAATATACTGCTATATGAACAAAAGTTCAATTACATTTAGCTTGCAAACACTTTAAACAAATAAGGTGCTTTTTTTTTTTACAGCAGTATTCCTTTTACAGAGTAGCAGTTAAAATATTTCTTGTAAATTCCAACTTAAACATTAAATGAATCCAATTAAATATAAAAAACCAAAGCTATTTGCCACTGCCAGGGCATTAAAGTTTTTATAGAAAATATTTTATAGTTTGTTATAGAAAAACAAGTTATGCTCAGAGTCCAGAGCCTCGATTATAACATTATAACAGGCACCTTCCGAGTAGAGACCTGCACTCCTGCGGGACTATCGCGGGACAACACTTGATGGGCGAGTGCGGGTAGAGTCTCGTGTGTGTGCGGGATGCGGGAGAATAAGGGTGTACTCACACTAGGCAATCTTAACCGTGCCCGAGTGCGTTTGACCCCCAATTTGTGTGGGTCCTACTTCTCCGAAAGTTATATGAATACAGTACAATCATTAATATAATTAATATACGTTAATCTTCATACAAAAACATTGTGCCTAACACTGACTAAGAATGATACAAATCAAATATCAGAGCAAGCTTTTGGTGTTTTATTTACATACACACTGACATGATGACAAAATAAGACTCAATGTAATTTAATCACAAGTGGCAACAGGGGATGCATGTTAATACCAGGTGTAAATGTCAGTCGGTCTCTGCCTACCCCTTGTTATCGGATCACATGAGACAGATGTTAATACCAGGGGCTGGTTGCGTAAACACAGCCACTATGTTAAGACCATGTCTAAATAACTGACCAATTAGAAGTTACCCAAATTGTAATGAGTCTTACATTTTGGATTTAACTTAGACAAATCCATTTTTTATTAACTGACTTTAACAAGCTATGACAAAAATTAGATGATTAGTGTTTATAAGACTTGTCTAAGCAATCTGCCCCAGGTGTAAACAGGGCTTTTGAGAAAAATAAAAAAAGCAAAGGATAACTAGAATTTATGGAGGATTAAAGAAGGCTCTCATTCTGAAATTTATGACACTTTGAGACATCAAAGTGATTCCTATTCTCAGCTAAAAAAAAAATGTGAGACATGACTTTTGTGGATAAAGAGCTGGTTTAGACAAGTTAGAAGGCATTATGAACAGTCTACGGGGTACATTTGTGCTGACAGAGTGTCTCTGTGTGTATAGCCTGTCTGTGCAGGACAACACTTTTACTCATTGTACTGAGAGACAAAACCTTTTCACACTGACCTAAAATCAGTCTTCCAGATTGCAGCAAACAGCACAGGTTAGAAACTAAATTCATTTTGAAAGTGCTAGAGGCCTGTTCATAAAGCCTCATTCCAAATCATAGAGATAACTGTAGAGATAAACACACTGGCGCACCTTAAAGGAATAGTTCATGTAAAAATTAAAATTCTGCCATCAATATTTGCTAGAATACAAAAGACAATTGTCTCAAAGATAAATGTCTAAATGTTTTTTGTCAATACAATGTAAACCAGTTCCTTAAAGGGTTAGTTCACCCAAAAATGAAAATTGGCTTGTGTTTTACTCACGCTCGAAGCATAGGTGTATATGACTTTCTTCTTTCAGACAAATCCAGTCCGAGTTATATTAAAAATTGTCCTGGCTATTCCAAGTTCAATCATTACAGTCAGCG